AGAGCTTTTTGGTAGATTTCCAGTGCTTTTTGATGAAAGGAAAGTGCATTCGAATAGTCACCCATATTATGATGCATCAAGCCAATGTTGTTGTAAGAAATAGCCAAATCAGGATGATTTGAAGGTAGAGTTTTTTGCAAGATTTCCAGTGCTTTTTGATGATAGGAAAGTGCATTCGAATAGTCACCTATACTCTCATACGCCAAAGCAATGTTGTTGTAAGAAAGAGCCAAATCAGGATGATTTGAAGGTAGAGCTTTTTGGTAGATTTCCAGTGCTTTTTGATAATACGAAAGTGCATTCGAATAGTCAACCATCTTATGATACACCATACCAATGTTGTTGTAAGAAGTAGCCAAATCAGGATGATTTGAAGGTAGAGCTTTTTGGTAGATTTCCAGTGCTTTTTGATAATACGAAAGTGCATTCGAATAGTCACCCATCTTATGATATACCATACCAATGTTGCTGTAAGAAGTAGCCAAATCAGGATGATTTGAAGGAAGAGCTTTTTGGTTGATTTCCAGTGCTTTTTGATAATATGAAAGTGCATTCGAATAGTCGCCCATCTTATGATACACCATACCAATGTTGTTGTAAGGCATAGCCAAATGTGAATGACTTGGAGGAAGAGCTTTTTGGTTGATTTCGAGTGCTTTTTGATGATAGGAAAGTGCATTCGAATAGTCACCGATCTTCGCATAGACCAAACCAATACCGTTGTAAGAAGCAACGAAATTGGCATGGGTAGGTGAGAGCATTTTCTCTTCAATTTTAATGGATCTTTTATAATATGTAATGGCATCTTTATATTCACCTTGACCATGTTTCACCATACCTAGCATATGATTGATGGATGCCTTTTCTAAATCAATTGTTGTTTGTTCAAGCAGGATATCATAAACCTCTTCGGCTTTGTTGAACTGTCCTAATTTAATCAGTAAGTGACCTAAGCGATCCCATCCTTTTTTATCAGGATGGATCTCTTTACGCATTTGTTCAGTAAGCATATGAAGATCTTGATCGTTATCACCAGTCAATATTAAATTGACTTGCCAAAGACGATTATTTCCATCGAGTTGTTTCATTGGACCAATACGAAAAATGGAATTCATGGAAAAGAGAATTTCTTCTTCTCCTTTGAAATAGCTAACATCATGGACGTTAGCAAATGGTGTTGAAGGAATAGAAGGATCAATTTTAATGTCGAATAAAATACCAACGAGATCGGATGTTGCGGTGGCTCGACGAGCAAAATTCAAGGATACTTGCTGTTTCGTGCTGGTCGATAGAAAATTGTTAAATGATATAAGGCCACCTTGGGTCTTCACCAATCGATCAAAGTCATCTTTCGATAATCCTTGACCACGAAAGACAGTAAATGGTTTCTTATTTGTATGTTCAACACATTGTTTCTTCTGAAGGGCGACAATGTGATTGTGAAGGTCGCGAATGAAAAATCCCATGCTAATGATGAGATCAATCTGCATGTTTCGTAATGAATGATTGAGCATCGAATACAAAAAACCTGGATGCGTATACCACCATATAGGAACATGCTCGTGGTATTCCCGCTCGAATTTCTCTAGATTCTGCAGTTCTTTCTGATTCTTTGCGTATAATTGACGGCAATAAGTAATAAACTCATCGAAATGTTTTTGTTGGAAATCAATAGTTAATAGAATTTCTTTCATTATCTGCGTGTACATAAATGAACAATCTAATTCATTGAGATTTAGTTTGCTGCTTTCATTCCCCATGGGCAGAAAACTGATTGAAATCATGTTTTGATCACATTCTAGTGCGGCTTCTTGAAGAGCTTTATAGATCGAAGCAATATCCGTAGAGACCCCTTTTATTTTTGGCCAATTTTTGACCCAACCTTTATATGCGGCTTGGTTTTCACTTAAAATATAGATACTATTGATTTGTGGAATTCCATGGACGATAGGAATAGTTGTTTGCGCGAAGGTATCAGAAAAGACCATAAATGCTTTTTCTTCGTGAATATCGGTTATAAAATCGATACATTCATTCACCTCAGTGAATGGATATATTTTGTTCACTACTTCCTTTAATTTGCCGATGGTATTCATACAATCGCTTTTGTTCATATTTTGGATATTGGCATCGAGCCACACCAGAATGAAGTTCTGAACCATACGAGTAGAAGGAGAACGTCGAAGCGTTATACTTGTAGATTCAGATGGCGTAGCAGCAGTTGTTGTTGTTATCGGCATTTTCGCTTTGTCCATGGCGTGCGTGATGTTTTATCAATGAAAAAATAAAATAAAATGACTTGAATTTATATATAGTATGTTGGAAGTTTTTTCTATGTTTCTATTTGTTTTTGTCGTATGAGCTCTTATCATTTTTTCGTTTCACTTAAGTGCTTCAATTCTATTTTCTATCAGTCCTTATAGTTGATGTCAGCAGAAAGCGAAACAATGAAAAGAACTTTATTGCAACATAATTTCATACTGTATCACGTTTCGCTTTCTTTTTATGATGTCTGGAAGTTATTATCTACTACTCTTCGTGTTGCTGTAAATGAATAAATGCCTAAAAATAGAAGAATACACGTTGCTGTTTGCAAATGCATGATGAATCATTATTTCAGCAGGTTCTTTCTGCTCAATTGACTTGTTTTAAGAACGAGAAGTTACGTCTATGATATTTTTCCATACTTACTCGACTATATTGTTATAGTTTATATCTAATCTCAAAATCAATCCGTTTCGTATGCTCATTTCGAGATCCAAACTAACTTTCTCATTTATTAGTTTATAAAATTTTCGAATTGACGGCGTGAGACTCGTTCTCGTTGTAAAAAAACGCTCACACTTCAAAAGTTGTCATTTTGTAGAATGAATTGAGAACTAATAAAACTTCATATCGAAATTTCGAAAAAAACCGATCATATATGAACATCGAATTTTGTAACAATGTTTGAACGAAAATTATATAGCTCTGATTTTAAAATCATCGCGACACCCAAAGACGTTTTCGAATAATATATCGAAAAAGTAAAAAAATCCACTGAAGATCAACAAAATGAGACCTATCAAATACTATTTATTCGTTGATACTATATAAAATAGACATTGATGAACTTTGATCTATTGAGTAACAAATTCAGCGATCAAGAAATTCTACATGTGGCTAATGCACTACAAAAAAAAATAAGGTGACATAACTTTTCTGCTTATCTATTATCTATTCATTTGTATCATTGAAATAAAATCTTACAACATTAATTCTTTGTTATAATAAAATTAGTTCACAAGGAGCTAAATTTTTTGTTAAAGCTTTACAAAAGAATACTGTAAGACAATATTTTTTTTAGTCATGCATTCTATACTTGTTTGTTTAAAAATAAAACAAATGCTCACAATCAAGTCGGAGATGTAGCAATGAAATATTTTACTGATGCATCAAAAAAAAGTAACTCAGTGAGATTCATATTCTATAGATCTAATTCATATTAGTGTTTATCATTCAATAGAGATGTTAATAAAATTGAATCTTGCATTTAACAAATCAGCAAACCAAGGAGTACAACATTTAACTTATGCATTACTCAAAACAGATTAACACAAGCTTTTATGTTTCTAACGACAAAATCTCGATGAATTTATTGTATCCATCAGATATATTCTTTAAATTAGACACTCAAAACGTAGTCTTTTCGATAGAACAAAATCGAAGACGAACGTTCTCGATTTTGTGATAAATTCCCAGAGAATTAAAAAATCAAAAAAAATTTATTAAATTGATGAAACGGACAAAAAACATGCATGTATTTCAAATTCATTGATTAAAACGAACATTTTCATCAGTTTAATGCTGTGATTTTAGTTACAAATCAAAGTCATAAAATTAAATTGATGAAAATGTTCATTTTAATCAATGACTTTGACATACATGCATGTTTTTGTCCGTTTCATGATTCAAAGTACCATTTTGTTTCATGTTTTTGATATAAAATTCATAAAAGTCGTCCTTGGGTTCTCTAGAAAATAATACAGTAATACTATTCTACTACTTATTTATCTGATTCAGTTTTATGTTGGACGACACAGACAGCAAAGCTGCTGGAACTGAGTCACAATGGAATGAGTCAAGAAGTACAACAGTATTTAACTAGTTTATAAAAATTATAAAATCTCTCGAGCATCTTCATAGTAAGCAACAGTCAACAAACATCATGTGACAGAAATCATTGTTGGTTTTTTTTCAAATTACATAATGCTCTGCTCTTTGCGAAAATATTTTATATTTTTACAATAGAATTGTATATATCGAATACCCTACAAGAGCAAAGTAGAATCAATTAGAATACTATTAATACAATTGTATTGATAATTTTTTCAACGTAGTAATGAATGTCAACATTTGTCAAGTTATTCTTGCTTCAAAAACTAGTGTATTCTCTCATTTTAACTGTGAAAAAAAAAGATTTTATTGAGTAAGCATTATTTCGATTTAAGACCTTCCAGTGTAGAGATGTGCAAAATTATCCTATTCTACTCTGAACATCTGTACTTCAAGAACTTTTTAGTAAATGCAAACGATAATTATTTTACCGACAACAAAATTCATGATTACTTTGATTGAAGTCAAATTTTTTCGTTTAAAGCAATTCCATTCTGGTTAAAACTTGATTTTAGAGTGCCTGGGTTTATTTAACGTACTGGATTTTCTATATATACAGATTGATTGTCATATTTTTTTCAAAAAATTTATTTCATTGTAAATCTTGTATTTTTTTATTTTGGTTTTTTTTATCATTACATGGTTAATATAGTAAAAATCATTTGAAAGATAAAAGACGTGATGGTAATGGTAAAGTTGAAATCGATTGTTATCTAACAATGCATATATATATATATATGCACAAATGCATTTCGACTTACGAGAGAAGCGTTCCCATTGTCAAATCACTTTTCGATTGAGATGATATTTATTTGATAACTACTAGTGAGTAACAGAGAAATGGAGAATGGTTTGATTTTCCGGGTCGTAATTCTTTCGATATCGAAGTTTTACTGAATTTTTCAACAAATAGTGGTAGTTTCCATTAAGTCAAGTTAGATTTTCGAGGGTGTGGGTGTGGATATAAGTGTCGAAAAAATTAACAATCACACCCACACACCCACACCCTACTTATATCAAAAATCCAAGAAAAATACTATGTACTTACAGCGAAACTTTGCCAAAATTCAATGAATTCAATATAATTTGATCAAAAAATATTGGATTTTGTTTGATCAATATTGAGATAAAACAAGATAGTCACATGAATCGTTCTTTACGAACGTTTGACATAGATGATGGACTTCAAAAGAATTTTGTCTTATACAGTATTTGACAGAAAAGACATCTGGAGTCTTGTCTTTTGATTACTGAAAACCACGGATCGTTACTAGTTACCATTGTCGAGTTATTAACCTTACACAAATTCTTCTCTAATTCTAGTATAAATGTTACTTCGGCTGAAATGAGACGTTCAGTACTCCTAGTTCATGTTTATATTGCATAGGAAGGTTTCGATAAGATTAGAACAATCTTAAAAAAGCTCGTAGTTATGGGTCTACGTAACTGAATTATGACTCATAATCCAGCTCTATAGGCTGATGCACAAGAACTTTGTCAGGATTTTGCTAGTCTTATCGAGACTTTTTTGAGAGCCAAACATTAGCTCAAACGGTGAAAAGGAATAATTTCATGTTCATGTTCCTTAATTCATGTTAAGAGAATATAAAGTAAAATTGAATAATTCTATATAGTTATTAATAGATTTTCTATTACAATCCAAAATATGCGAGAAAAAGAAACAAGATAGACAGTAAAAATAACTTTTACTAACAATATTTTCGTCAGTCAGTATCTTTTAATTACATTAACGCTAAGATTTTATTGATAGGGAGTCAAAAATGAGTACTATCTGTTAGATAACAATCTGATCTATTAACTATATTTGATTGAAAACCACCTTTAATATTAACTCATACTTCTGAACAATAATTTAATGTGTAGTATTCACGTTTTAATGATTCTTTATTATATTTATAATCAGCATGATATAAACAAAGAGTTGCTCGTCCATTGGATAAATCATTATATCGTTGATCACAATTTTGTTTATTTTCATTTACTTTCATCACTTAAATCTGAATATCATTTACAATGAATTGTATGAACACGTACACACCATTAATAGATATATCGATCATTTGGACATTTTTAAATAAATAATTATTTGTACAATTCTGCAGGATTAAAATGTAAAACACAATGTAGCTGCTGTGTATAATCATACAGAAATTGTTTTATTGAATTTTGCTGAAGGAAGTAATTGGGACGAGGTGCGCATGAAATCAGCTCCTAGGTGCGTCGTTGGCTACACTAGTAGACTAAGTCCTATACTGCTTAAACAGCAGAAATTAAAGTATATCTCATGCGCAGCATTGTAGAAGAGAACATATGAGATCGTTGGATAAAGCAACAACCGGAAACAGACAGTTGCTCTTCGAATGGAGCATATTATGAATGGCCTTATTAGAGATAATATCGGCCTTTTTTGTCGAAAAATAGGGATGACCACTCGGGAATAGAATAGAAAAAATATTTCATGAAAGCAGTAAGCGTTTGGCGTTTTTAACTGGTCGTCGGGTTTTGATATTGACTTTCAATGAAGTGTTTCACTTTTTAATCTGCAAATTATTTCGTTGACATAATGTCAATGACTTTAAAAAATAGGATTTCGTTTGTTTTTAATTAGTCCATCGCAGAAGCATTTATAGATTGAATAATCATATTTTAAAAAAATATCATTTCTTATTCTATCTTTTAAATTTAGAAAGAAACTTTCAGAAATCATTTTTTAAATGATGATATCTGTATAAAATGTCACAGCTTTCATTGGAGATTCCACATATGTCTTAATTTTTATTGCATCATCATCGAACTCAATCAACTTATATGAACCCATACGTATTCAATGATCATCTAAAATCTCTTCTGCATTTTAACATTGACTATGATTGCTTCGTAAGAAATTTTATACATAATTTTCTAGTTAGAAGTGCGACGAGCAACAAACTACATCCTATATCGAACAAGTAGGTATTTAATTGAGTTTTCTAGGAGATCCTAAAAGAGCAGCTTATCTTGTAAATCAACAAGCTATGTCAAGGTATGCGATAGTTTCCGGATAGCATTTGTCACAGTATGTGAAGAAAGATGAAGATTGAGTCAAAATAACTACTCTATACATTTCAATACTCCTTTTAGATCGTGTTTCACAAAAGTGCCTATACAATATGTATGGAATCTGGCTACGTAATCAATATTTTGATCAAACATATGGGTGCTTTTATGGTTGAAAAACTCCTATGTGACAAAATGTTACTCATATAGATTTTTGTATATTGTAATGAAGTCTTTCTTACCATGTCAATATAAAACATAACTCCTCTTAATAAATAATAATTCGACAAGCATTAACTCATTTCAAACATGACATCATGTTGACTTGACTACTTTTGTACTTGAAGGTTGTTATATACAACAATAAATAATATGTAGTTGTAACTATGCGTCATTGATAAAAGCATACGTCCATAGAAGAAAACAAGTATGTAATTCTGTTATTAGCGAACTTAAATATATTCTCTTATCAGGTGTATATTTATAACGTGCTGTACATTTTACATTTACATACATACACCTAATGTTAATCACAATTTTATTGCTAGGTTATTGTTTCATATCAATATCAAAAACACAAAAAATTTCTCAATGTAATTTCGAAAAACTATGTGAAGATTTTCTATTTGATTCTTATTGGATTGTCGAGAATGTTTCATCACATATTGATCATACATATGGAAATCTTTCTGGTCATTATATAACTTATACAAATTCTTCAATCTCACAACCTTTAACTGTATTTCGTACAAAAGATTGGATAAATACACCTTTAAATTTAATAGCATGTTTGTCATCATGGGTCTATTTAGTACGTGGCAGAATTTATTTCAATTTAGAACTTGCACAAGGTGACGATTTACAAGCTCGACTTCCAATAGGAATTATTGGAATACGTGTAAATGATCCAGAATGGGATGGTATTACGATAGAAATGTTTTATGCTACTCTTTTCATTCCTTTTGTGTCATTTACAAATATTACGGGTTCATTAGATATTGACGATTTATCAGTTTCATTATGTCCCAGCTCAAAACCAATACCTTCAATCAAAATGATTTTCGACTGTGATTTTGATAAAACTGTTTGTTCTGAGTTGGTTTCATTTTCTCATTATTCGTATAGTTGGCCAGTGGTTCAAGCAGAAGAAACAGAAAATTATACGATGCAAGCTCCAGAAGTTGACTATTCCGTTGGAAATAAAACAGGTATCTTAAAATTAAAAAAAAACATAAGACTAAATATTGGCATTTCTTCATCGCTCTAGGTCATTATATGTGGCTTAATAATTCAGATTCATTACAACCAGGTGGTGCTGGATATTTAAGCACATATTTCTTTCGTTTCACATCGTCTGATCCTATATATTGTCTCAGTTTTCAATATTATAGATTTGGACTTATTTTCCAAATTAGTAAACTTACATTAGCATTAAATGAAAAAGATCAAAAGTCTGTTGCCCAAATTTGGCCTATTAATCCAATCAATTATACTTATATAAATCAACGATGGTAAGTGACTGTATTTAAATTAAAATATTTTTGTTTTTTTTTTTGTTATATGTTTCGACTAGGTCTTGGGCATATGCTCCATTACCTATAGGCAATTATTCTCTTCTATTTCGTATGGATTCTGATTATGAAGTGAATAGTTCATTTGCAATTAATTCAATTTCTATTAAGTCATGTGAATATCCTCAAAAATATTTTTATAGTACTTCAAATATTGAATTTACCTGTGATTTCGATAATCCTATGGATTCAACATGTGGTATACAAAATGATTATACAGATCTTCATCCATAATCTGTTATTAACTATACTATACAATCACCGTATAATATCAATGATCAAGATCTTGGTTCAAGACAAACAACAGGTTGGAGTGGCGATTGGTTTCTGTATTGGTTACGTTCTCAACAGACATCACTAACACTTATTAATGGACAATTCAAAACACCTTTAATCGAAACAAATAGAGATATGTGTGTTAGATTTGCTTATTTTGTTAATTCGACAGATGTTCTCCCACATGAAAAAGTACAAAGATAGAAGCTTTTACTGGTGGTTGTCAGGAAGCAACTCTTTGGTCTATTGAATTAGATAACAGTCTTGGTTAGCAATTAGTCACTAAGTCTTTCTATCCTATTGCTTGTACCCAGGCTATATATTTTCATATTACTCAACGACGACCAACACGAGTAGGTGTTGCTTTTGATGATATTACTATTGCACAATGTGATACATTAAATGTATTAACTACTATTAAACTATCAATGACTACACCTTTTAATAAAACTTCATCGAATTATATCAATTCACTTGTTTTGATTATTATTTTAATTTTTATGTTGCATTTACGACTATCATTTGAATAATATTATTCCATTTTTTCTAACAGGAAAAGCTTTTTGATGATTTTTTTTCTTGTTCACCTTTTCTCACAGATGTTTTAATTTAAGAATAAAATTTTTTGAAAAGATTATTTTGAATTATTTATTAGTGAGTTCCATTGCCATAGCAATATATTACTATGATTAAATACGAAACATTTTGTAACTGACCTAGGATGGATGCAGGACCGAGGCCTAAATTTAGCCATTGGATTCAATTGTTCAGCTACTACTTCAAATGACGCCTTTTATGACTGTATTTCTATTGTATTCTCATGTACAGATATGCATTGCCTACGTTTCAAAAATATTTGAACATTGGAATTAAATCCGCAATTTAGACACTGCTGAATTTTGAACAACACATGAATGTAATCAATTGAGTACTACAGGGCGGTTCAAAACCTTTACGCCCTTCTGGTTCGATCTTAAGGTCAAATGCTTTCACTAAGTATTTTATATCAAATTGAAGCCCGTAAAAAGCTACATTTATTGATACTAAATGGTAAAGGTTATGAAGATCTTTTAATGTCGAATTTCCGAGATTTTCAGAAATTCGATACCTTTTTTGATGTAGAAAAGTAAGGTGCCAGTAATTTCAAAACGAAATAAAACGTTTTTCTTAGATATTTTTACATGATTCGATAGAGCTCGACGAGCTCTACAAAACTAGATATTTCACAAACACTTTGAGTCATCTTTTTTTGATAAAAATTCAAAAAACTACACGGAAAATCCCAAAAAGTGTAAAAAAATTCAATTGTTTTTTCATATAAAAAAACATCGGATTTTATCAATAACATTAGTTTTTTTCATTAGTTATGTTAGCTCAGACATTTTGAAATATGTTCATTCGATGTCGCGTGAAAAACTGCGTCGAATGAGCACATTTCGAAACGTCTGAGACAGCAAAAATCATGAATAAAACTTAATTTTATTGGAAAATTGAGTATTTTCCTTCCATATGAAAAAAGTGAAGTTTTCAAATATTTTTTGTGATTTTCCAAGTAGTTTTTTGAATTTTTTATCTGAAAAAGATGGCTCAAAGTATTTTTCAAATATACAGTTTTGTAGAGCTCGTCGAGCTCTATCGAATCATGTAAAAATATCTAAGAAAAATGTTTTATTTCATCTTTGAATTACTGGCACCTTACTTTTCTACACCAACATAGGTATCACACTTCTGAAAATCTCGCAGGTTAAAATACTTAGTGAAATCATTTGACCTTAAGATCGAACCAGAAGGGCGTAAAGGTTTTGAACCACCCTGTATTAATTATTTGAAAGAGGACAATGGATAGATATTCAATCGTAGTTTTGTTAACAATTGAATACAAGAATCTGTCTGGAGTTGTCTTGAAAGCAAGACACTACTTGTTATTTAGTCGTCATTATTCAGCGTGGATGTGGTTTATAAAACCTCTAAAAATGGCAAATGTTGTTGGAAGAATCATTTGCGAGTAAAATAATTTGTTTCTTGCAGCTTCAAGTAAAAAGGAAGAAGAATTAGTAATATGTTGACACTTCTTTTGCGTTTTTTCCCCAATAAAATAAAAGGACGTAAATAATAAGACGACACATCATTATTCTCATCGCTTACTTAAAAAAATGGCTGCACAATGGCAATGGCAATCGGATACTAAACCATGCGATGTTGCAGATCCAGAAAAAGTCTCATGGACATCATATGCACCTGAAGCGAATTTTCTGATTGAACAAGCTTATTGTTCATCTTCATCTGAACCTATTGTAATTTACAATTATTATGTGATTGATATTCAAAAACAGATTCAATATGTACAAAATGCTCCAACACATCAACGTCCAATAAGACGTCTGAGTAACGTTCAAAATATGAATGATGAGCATATTCGTCAAAATCGTTTCATTTTCTCCGGTGATCATGATCATTTCTTTCAACCATTCGAAACGGATATTAAATTTGGTTCATTGATGATCCAAGAATGGCACAAACATTTTATTGAATGTCATCAAGGAGATGTGAATGTGAGTGAAAAAGATATTGTTGATGCGGCTATTAAAGGAATAGAAGAAGAAGGTTCAAAGGATATAGAGTTCAGTGAAGAAACAAAAATCATATGTGATGAATTGCGTAAAGTACGAAATTGTGAAAACAAAGTGAACAGAAAAGAATGTGCGGTAAAATTGTACACGCGCCCCGGTTTTCTGTACAAACTGGTCAATCGAGCTCTTCGAGAGCGTGACAGGCGAATTTATCGAGATACACTTGGGCCTTATTGCTATTTACTCTATTCTTATCTTTGTCTGCGTTCACCTTTTGGTATTGATTTCTATCGAGGAACTGTATATCGTGGTGCTCGGCTACATCCAGGTATGATCGGTCGATTTCAGAAAGAGATGAAACAAGGAGATAAATTCTTGACTTGGCTCGGCTTTACGTCAACAACTAAAAGTAGCGCAGTGGCCAATGAATTCACGGAAAATACTCTTTTCGAAATCTTATTGACCGATACAGACCATTTTACATGTCAAGGTGTCGACATTAGTAAACTTTCGCACTTCCCTAATGAAGAAGAAGTTCTACTACCATCTGGTTTCCAGTTTCAAATTGTCGATGTCAAACCATTAGAGCCAACAAAAAACAAGCCATATCCTTGTTTTCATATACAAATTCTTCCACGTCAATGTGATAGTGTTGTAAAATAGAAAAATAAAGTATATGACGAACGATAGTAATTGTCTGAAGATTTACGAACTAATTCACTTATTGAAAACTCATCAGTTTAAAAGTATTATTTTTGTTTGTACATTTTTTTTTGTATTATTTTAAAAAGTAAATCTATAATAATTGGAAAGTAATCGAAGAACTCTTATTCATTCTATCAAAAATATTTCCTCTATCAAATATTGAAAGTGAAATCAATCTATTGAAAGTTCTTTAATTTATTTCAATCGACTTGGAGAAGTTTCTTGGATATGGAAAGATGAATAGTTACAGTTCTGAGAAAGGTCATCTTTTCCTTCGTTCTATCGTGGCTCCAACTTGCTGCTTAATACCAATTTGTCTATAAAATCTGAAGCTTACAATAATGCTGCCAAAGTATTACTACATACAGCATCTCTGAAACATATCTGAAAGACCATGGTGTGGGTGGGGGTGTAAGTGAATAGAATACCATACCCACACCTAAATATCAAGTGTTATAGAAATAAGAAACTTTTCTTTGTTCCAAGACGAGGATTCAAAAGAAATGCTTGATGACGATGATAATAATAATATTGATAATCTTGATCAGCAACCATAACCACAGCTATTAACACAATCAACACTACAAACACCGTTTGATACCATTTTATAATATGTTACAAAATTGAAAATATATGTGATTTAATGTTCTTTTTTCTTGAATATCCAGAAAGAGAAATTCCAATTATTGTGTTCATCATCATGATCCTATTGGCAGGGATGACAGATTATCTTTTGGCGTATATTAGTTTATTGATTTTTGAATAAATTTGAAAATATAATATATGTTTTTTGATTTATTTAATAGTCGTGAATTAGATAGTTTTCATTTATCTCTGTATTATGATCAATAACTTAGAGTATGATAAAGTGAATTTCATATCCATATGGTTATCCAAAAGTTATGCCGATTAAATAAGAATCAATTAACCTATAACTTATGGGTATGATTATGGCGGTGAGTCGATCAGAGCTAATCTACCGGAAGGATTCTAACATCGGCATCGTCATTCCTATCCATGAGTTCGCAGAATATGTAAAAAAAGATTTATACATTCATCAATGATCAGTTCAACTACTGAATGCTGTGAAATTTATTTAAATAATTACTATTTTTTGATAAAAATCCAATAATGTTCTTCCTAGCAGTTTTATACTTATCAATTCTTTGACAATAATGACGGTTGCTGTAATATGATTTCGAATAGAAATTAGCTATTTTCTTTTCTTAAATTTTCGAAGCTTCGTTTCTGTTCTCTTGGACATTTTATGTTTCTTCAATAAACAGAAAGAAATGAAAATAAATGTCATGCATCTAACGGCAATCATGTGTTGCTCACCATTCATGATTTTCTCTGGCGGTACATCTACAAACTATTTACAGACAGATGAATGAAAACATTCCTTTTGAGAAAAAAAACTGAGAGTCTTGGCAATGGAAACCCTACAGGAACAGCACAATGTGATTCATTTCAATTCTTTATCGCATGTTGCAAGTCCGTAGGTTGAATGACAGAAAGTGTAAGGGTTGATGCAATGTTGGATTTGTACAACGAAAATGCAAAATTACTTCTAAGAATGGCCTAATGATCAAAAGTCGTGACTTTGATCATTTGTCAAATAATATGACTTTTAAGTGATATGTTTGATTAAATTTGGATAGGAATAGGACTCGTTTCATAATG